GACCATAAAAAAACCCCAACATCTGAGGCTTTTCAAGAGCTTTGTGGCTGGCTGACAATTCCTTTATTGAAAGCAGACCTTGGGAAGATGCCTCAAGCCCTCCTTAGCGGAGTCCACATAGTAAATAAGCGTCTGAGAATGATACAGCACAAGAATGGCAAGAGTCAGCCAAATTCAAAGCCACTGGGAGCCAATTCTGCAGTTTGAAAAAATACTGTATTTTATCTCTCAAGGTGACAGTCTGGAAACTGATCCAAACCCAAACTTTGGGATGACCACTATCTTAAGAACAGACCTAAAAAGAAACGGTATTTATTCAGATGAGAGTGGGATGCAAGATAACGCTCACTTTGCACCACCACGCTCGAATTGTGTGACTCCAAAGTAAAGGAACTTTGGATCCAAATCACTGCATCGTTTGCGTTGCCAGCAAGTAACACACCGAAGTGTACCTGCGCTCCTCAGCGTGCAGCTCAGTGGCATGCTACGTGTATGCTTAATGAGCTAGTACCATCGGCATATTTGATTGTCACTTCCCCCTTGATGATTCAAATGCCTTCTCTCTGCATGTACAGGATGTTCTACCAAGCTATTAAACTTTTTTATTTGGTAATCTAATGTTTTCTCTTCTAAAAGTATAGAACTGCTAACAGTTAGGAAAAGTATTTTTTGGTCAAACCAGTGGCCAAGTTTCCAGCTACAGACAAGAAACCCTACGTAAAGAATGCTTGGCAGTTACATAGTGCTTTACACCTGAAAAATGTCAAAACAGAGGAGATGATGAGGTTTGTCTTGCTGCTGACAGAAAAGGAAGAGGCATAGGCAAAATCTTGCCTGCGTTGCAAAGCCAGTGACATTTAAAAACACGGTCTCATGTTCTATACCAGCCACCGTACAAGGCTTGGTGAAATTAAGAAACAGCATTTTCTTAGATCAAATCCAGTAAATATTTTGGCTTTAGAGTGAGAAACACCCCTTGCTACAAGTTTGTGATGAGTATCTCTGTAAGAAACCTTTACTTCAGCGGCTTTTACATATCATTAAAATCTAGGCTGTGAACTTGAAAGAATACATATCTTCATCATCCCTATGGTTATGAGTTTGCTCTTGGCAGACCAGGACAAACGAACATAGAAGTAACTGCCAACTCTTACACTCTAAAACAAGTGTCAGGAAGGGCACTGTGCAAAGGAACGGTCTTGCCAGCATCTCTTCATCACATCCTTCCAGCAGATGTCTTTGGGTTTTAGCATATTAAGTTTAAAATAACAGGGGAAAAACACCCGTACCTTGGTTACTAGCTTGCTCTCTCCAGCAAGTACCTCCATTTGAAAATTTCTGTATGTGCTGTCAATAATATTGGTTTTATTCACTACGCAGGTGACTCCCGGATTCTTGTCAATTATAACCTGGCCTGAAAGAGAGGACAAAAGATATTCCGGTTAAGGGACTACAACCTCTTAGTGTTCTACAAGAGATACAAACACTGCTGTTTACAGTTAAATTAACAAAAGTAAGCATGTACTAGAACAACCTTCCTCTGATGGTTCAGGGTTGCAGATACAACATCTTTCTAAGGCACATACTTTACCCTGACCCAAGGCTTAGTGAAGTGAGACCACAATTACTGCAAGAGGGGAGAACTGTGCCTTCTGTGCACAGCTACAGCATCGGCACAAGGCTATTTAAAGTCAAAATACAAAGCAAGGAAAAGCGCTCAAAAGTTTTCCTTGTGCAAGGAATAACTTATTGGTAGAATAATTGTTAAAATACTTTTTTAACAACATACAAAATATACGAAATACTTTTGTGGAGAAGAGTTGTTTTACCTACCAATCAAATGTCTGTACGGTAGCTGATGATCTCTAAGATTCAAATGAGCTATGTGACCCACACGGCTAAATCCAGAGGTGACTTCTTGACCTTCAGGAAGGACTGCTCGTAGGATCTCCTCTGACTTGAAATTCTCATAAGTCAGCTCTAAGTTATACTTGGACACCTCAGGACAAACATTAAGCTGTTTTAATACCTCTTGCTCCGATTCTCCCAATGAGAATTCTGGTATTTTATGAGGATCCAAAATAACAAGTCTACTGTCCTCATCTTCGGGATCCTCAACCACTCGCTTTAGACCAGGACGCTGTAGTAGCATATGTTTTAGGGACTTTAGCAAACGATTTACAATTTCTTTCTTGACTTTAAGAACTGGAACAACAACTGTCCTTTTAAAAGCTTCTCTGTTGAGTAGTGTCATCCCACGCACTTCAGGATGCGGCGAATACAGTTCTAGATTAGCTTTATCCTCCACAGTTTCAGGCATTGTAGAAAAACTAATTTTTTTTACTACTACAGAGAGCCCAGGTATTCTGCCAGAATATTGCGCCAATACCATCCAAACTGCTGGAAATGATGTATTTGATGCAGCTGTCCTAAAATGATTAGTTTTCAGTAGTCTGGCAGAGTATCCAAATCTCCATAAAGTCCTAGAAGAGAAATTATTCATTTTATAGACATTATGTAATCATTCCATTAAAAAGGCTGCAAATCACATGGATTTGCTGTTCTCTTAAACTAGAATTTCCATCTGTGCCCAACAATCCACAATAGTTTAGTACAGCTCTTTATTATGAATTATATACTACAAATTTTTGTCCTTTTGCAAATGGTATTTTTAGACTTAAGCATTAACTAACTTTAAGCAGTGAGATAATCCCCCCCTGCCAAAATACAATGACCTCTCTTTGTTCTAATAAACTTGATCTTAATCCCGGTGAGCCAAATGGAAAAACTTCTACCGTCTTGATCCTACTGTTGGATCCCTTCTGCCTCTGAGAAAATTCATTACCAAGCAGTGGTTGCTAGAGAACAGTTACTAGCAATTGTGGTCATAATCACTCTTCAGCAATTTCTGCCTCCTGTACCCCAGTGGTAAGGGGTTACACACTCTGTAGTGTCTTTGCTCCACGTGCTGCATGCCAGAAAGACCATGAATTAAATGCAGAATTCCCTTAAAGGTACAGGGAAGCATTAGTAAAGTCTGTTCAAGCGACTGAACCCCTCTCCACAGTTCATTCGTAAGATGGGGACTTGAAAAGTAGCTTTACGCTTCTCTAAATAAATGGTTTCTTCCACTAAAGACAGTCCAGAGGCGCCCAACTTTCCTGACTCTGCATCGGCTGCTCCTAGGCAGGAACCAATGATTTAGGTAGCGCGTGAGGCTGACGTTTCTCCTGCCTTCTTGGGAAGTTAGTTTTGAGATTGGGGGTTGATAGGAGAGATGCAAACTAGCTCTGAAAGGAAACCGGTTCTCTTGCCTGCCTCAGACATCTACAGGGCTGTTGCCCTCCTTCAGGGTAACAAGCCATGTGGTCTCTTCTTCAGAAAAGGAGCTGCGCCCAAGCCCTAGCAAAGCTGGCCCCGCTCCCATCCTTCCCCCACCCCAAATCCCAGCTCCTCACTGGGACTCCCTACATCCCCAAGCCAGCTCATTTCCCTAAGCCAAGTTTTTGGCAAAGCACACCTCCTTTTCCCTGTTGAGTCAAGAATAAACATCACATTCTTCACGTCTGCTACAGAGGAGGAAGACTTCATCCAGAGGCCAGAGCACCCCAGTGTTTTTCTTAGGCATTCCCCTTCTCCCTAGCTGGAAACTGCTGGCCTGGTTCGCACGGGCTTCTCGGTATTAGGTCAGCCCGCAAGATAAACGCCCCCCCCCCCCCCCCCCCCGCTGGGTCTGGTTGGAGGTCACGGCAGCCATCCTGTCGCAAGAGGACCAACATCTTCCCGAGGCTGTCTCTGGAATGACCTGCCTTTCCCCGTTTGCCCCATTCTTCCCTCGGAGTAATCTGAGGCACGTCGGGGGCGCGGGGGTGCTGCTGGAGGGCCGCTACCCGCTCCGCCCGGCCCCAGCTCCACGAGCAACACCGGGCACCAAGCACAGAGACCCCCGGGCGGGTCGGAGAGGCGCCGGCCAGGCCTCACCCGGGGAAGGGACCCTCGCCAGGGTCACCGCCCAC